CCACAAAATTTCAGAATTATAGCCCTAACAGACCTCATAACTTCGAGATCTAATTATTCACAAAGCCCAATTTAACACATAATAACCCAACAACCCAGTATAGAAGACACCAGCGAACAAATTATAGAACAACCACATACCACTAACTTTCGTTCTCAGAACAATCATCTTTTTAGCCCACGATGAGCCACCGAGTTGGATCCCTCCATCGATCAACTTCCCACACAGCCAACCTCCAGAGCAACATTCCCATCATCCCAATTTTTGCTTTCCCCCTAACTCAATCGCTTCATCATAACACTTCATCCAGCATGGAATCAAACACTAATTCCAACCCAACAGTATATAACACTATGTCCCAATTCAATAACTCCGATATCGAAACACCCGACGAATTTTTCAACTCTGAACCCAGCCCATCTTCATTAACCAGTGAACCAGTGAACCATCCGATAACAACGACTCTGAAGCCAAGCAAAAATCAGACGAGCTTGATAACTTCAGCACACTGCAATAACAAATACACAACCATCAAACACTAAACATTCACCAACTCTCACAATCTATAATATCATCTAACCCATCAACCCCATTCCCCTCTTCACAATATACCCCTTCACAAAACCCGACTTCCTCATCAACCCCATCCTCCAATACAAACCGAGCTTACCGAACCTTTAAAAGATAACTCCAAATACTCCTTTCCCATCTAACCCAGGAACAACCATAACGTTTGTCAATCATCCACTTCACACTAAAACCAAAGATTTTCTACAAAAATAATTACCCTTTTTCCCACAATACACATACTTCCATTCAGAATGACGAGAAACCTAATTATGTAAACGAGCACGTATTATACCCCACACTTCCATGGACATCATTTTATCGCATTACTAATCCACTATCACTACCTTTATATAACACCCCTCATGACAAAGAAGTATGCAGCACCCAACTCTATCTTCTAACAACAGCATTAACCCCGAAACAATTCACACAGATAGTATACAGACAATCACTAATCAAATTCACCGCACCCAAATCTAATGATTATTCTATCGATTATTACGATCATAACATCATACGACCTAACAAAGACATCTTTCTAAACAACGACCCATTTTCTATCCCCAACGAACAGAAAATTTTTTCATCAGAACATTATACACTTTCACTCTTAACACCTTAACTAAAAATTACGACAACGTCATTTCAGCAGCACTCCAAGATATTCATGCTTATGATTCATACTTTAACAAATTTAACCACTTTTCACTAACGTTTCATTTCCTCACACCCAAAGAACGTTATTTGCACTATTCACACGATGTCATCTTACGAACTAAACAAACACCTACGTACACTTACTACCAGTTTATCCAACACCATTACAATCCTACTACACCAGCACGACAACCTCACCATCGATATCAATACATCAACTCTAAATACAGCTCACCATTTTTTCTTAACTTCATCTATTTTATTAAAGACACTAGCCTACAAGGCATCCTCCGAAATTACGATCCCATCACCCAGATGTATATTTTCTGTCCCCCCTAACCAAACTCTTAAATGTAGACGAATCCTGCCCACTAATCGTCCCACACGAATTCCTTCAGCCCGTTGAAGTCCCAATCCTAGACTTCATATATAACGCTCGCTATACTCATAAACTGTATACCTTTATTCAAAACAGACCATATGAACTCTCACCTAGCACTGAATATCACAATATCATTAAAGCACTCAAATTGCTTTGGCCACTTCTTCAAACTTAATACATCATTCGTTTGCTAGCTAAACTACTAACCTCATGAGACATCAACCACGACGAGCGGTTTTCCCCTCGGACTCTTCACCAACAATTAGGTAATCTGAATTAAATAGATTACTAATAAATACGAACTAAAATAACGTTCTTCATAAATGTTTTCTTTTCTCTTCATAGGCACGATCATCAATCATCTACAAAACAGAAAAACGAAATAAAAACAGAAAACTTTTTTCCAGATTCATAATGTTCCATTAACCAATTTCATTAATCGAATTAGTAAAATTCTTCCGTACGAAGCAATAAATCAATATATAAAACCTTTTCCCCAGTGCAGTAAATTTCCATATAACTGAAAATAAATTGATAATTTTAACCCCCAAATCAAGCAGTAATTTTCATAATTTTCAAGTGATAAATTAATAAATATTGCCCATAAAATTGAAAAAGCAGTCCTAACCTTTTCAAAGACGCTTCTTTATATTCACTTGCCCACAAACTCTTTCCACAATCGCACAGCTCGCCCACGAAGTTTTGCTTAAAATAATACATTTAAGTTTTAACTTCCACTAATAACAACTCTAACAAGTTTTAACACGTTTCAAACTTTCTTTTAACCAGGTTGGTAAGGAATTAGACAAAAATCCAAACTAACCGACGCAAGCTTACTGAACACCACAAACCACAATCTAACAGCATGATTAAGAAAAGAAAACCCACGGGATCCAAACTGGATTAACAACAGCTTAGAACTGGAGAAATTATTATTTTGAAGATTTTCTTTAAGTCTGAACACAAACGAACAATACACCAAAATGTCGAAAGACAAACCCAAAACAAACCGTTTGATTTTTGAAAAAAAGACACAACTAAGACAACAAAAGAAAAAACCAGTGATAAAAAAGGCACGAAAGATTGAACTAAAACAGGACCCTCCAAAAAAAAGGCCATGGAATTATACAAAAAAAACAAAAAAAACAAGATTAACAAAGATTTTTGTATGTAAATATTACATGCAAAATATAGATAATATACAGCCCAAAGACGAGCAGCAAGGAACTTGACAACCCATTCACACTCCAACTACGGAGTGGCAAAACCCACCTGACATGCTGCCTACAGTCACTACATTCAACGGATTTAAAGTACGACTTGGCATCGCAGCAAAGGAAATCCATTCCAACCGACCAATGGCCATCTCGATGTTCAAGTATACGTACAGATCCAAGGCACCAGGCACTGCATCCAAAGTCAAACTTCATGACACTCCCGAATGTGATTGGACCATTGCTACTCTCTAAAATCAACCAGATCAACACTCATCACAACCGATCAGAAATCATAAAACGATCTCCCGAAACGATTGTGATAACATCTCTTCTTCCAAACCAGAAAAAAGAATATACTCGCAACCTTTTAAGAAAACACCATCATCCACCCTACCCTACAATAGAACATTGAAAAACTAAAACTCTCCGAACCCCGCATGGGTGGAACCAGATCTAAACTAGTATTCATCATTGGTTATTATTATGATATTTTATCTCTATAAAATTTTAAATACTAAGCAGTCATACTCCATCAAACTAACAACTCACTTATTTGTAAGTGTTAAAACTACTTGTAGTTTCAACACCAGAACAATTTGAATTAAAATTAGAATACAGTTGTTCTCATTCTGGAACTAACTCGCGCAAACCGGTGCACACTAGATCTATTGACACTAGGAGATATAAGAGTAAGATTAAGTTTGGTATTAGACTAAGAAGTTGCACGAATTTATACGGCCGAAAATAAGATAGAGTGACGAGCAGACTGTGTACCTTTTCTGAAATTACTTTATGAGTATAGTATAAGAAACATAACTCAGTGGATTTCATTTTGAATGTGTTTTTTATGATAATCTCAACGATATATTTTTAACAATAGTAGTCCTTGTCATGGTGGATCAAGATTTTTTTCGCGTGAAGGCAGCGGAGAAGATATCAATCACTTATTGAATTTTTCGGGCCATTTTGTGCCCCTATTTATAGAAAGCTCTCACAGCAAATTCACTCCAAAAAGTAAATATTGGTTCGAAAAGCACTTTCATAAAAACTGGCTCGTTGGTGGGCCAAAAATGCAAATATGGATACCAAAGGAGGACTCTGCGGGCAGTGATGGAGTCGAGTTTGCATCCCGCATCTCTCAAAAAGCGCTGTGTCCGTTTATCGTCCGTCCTTTCACACTTTATGGAGTTGAAAATACTCTCTGTTTTGTTGATTCCACCATGCACTGATGATGTTTTTTCTATTTATATCTATTATGTAGAAAAATAGATTCCCTTTCAAGTTTTATTGATTTTATTATTGGTCTGTCTGTCAGTCTTTTGTTCTGCCTGAAAACTCTGACCCAACCTTTGCTAATTACATCAAATTTGGTGCTAAAAATATTTGTACCCTCCGGTGTTAAACATGTTGTGTAATTTCACTCTTATCATCTGGTAATTTCCGCCCATTAGAATAGAATTTCCCCTGTTGACCAATGCCATCGCCATCAAAAACTACTCATCGAGGCATAATCAATGGTATCATTGAAAGCATTCCTTGAGTTGCGAACAAATTTACTTACTTTTTCCTATAAATTTAATCATTTTCAGAAGAATAGATGTGCAATTTTGGCTGTTAAAAAATCATAATTGCTTTCAAACTTGTCTCTTTTTACAATTGATTATCCTAGTTTTTCAATATTTTCTCCAGTTCTTACGCCTAGAAACAGTTTTTTGGTTCCTGGTTAATTTCCATGACCCATTTTTTGTGATTGCGGTTAATTCAAACCTCGGTACCAATACTAGAAGTGACATTTCACTCTACTACTGATTGAGGTTTTTTTATCATTTAAAAGCCCAGGGAAGGCAAAATATGTGTGATTAAAAATGACAAGCTATCTCTTTCAGGCTTGAGGCTAAAATGCGTTTTTGATTGGCTTGTTGAAATAATTGAACCGTCTAATAAGACCATCGAACCAAAGCAAACCAAACTGAGAAAAAACGATCCATGTGATTGAGCTAATTTCCGTCTTGCTTCTCGATGTTAAGTAATTGATACATTTTTAAACAGATACTTCAAATTACAGTTGAGTTAGAATCAAATCAAGACATCTAACACCTCAGACTTTCCCCCGTTTCCTCCCTAGAACTCGAATACAGTAGTTGATTAACTTTTTTATCCCGTTGGATGTTTAGATCAAGCGGCATATCCAACAGCTGAGAGCGAGAACTTTTATCAATAATTGAACTGATCGCACCTCACAAACCGCATCTAAGCAACAACAATGGCCAGCAGCCGAAAACTTCCCAGATTTGCAGCACTTAACGTTCTCGTGATTTTACTGTCTCAATATTTCATTTCGACCCAAGCGCTCCAATCAGCCAATGAAACAGATGACCAGGAGGACGAAAATGAAAGGTAAAATCAAACCTTGCCAAATTTATTGAGTATAATGAAATTCGAGGCTGAAGGGGAGCTCCACGCACTTTTTAAAAGATGGAAAAACTTGCGGCCACTTTTAATTGTGCAAAATTATCTCAGATATCAACTCAATTTTTAAAATTTTGGCTTGCGAAACGTAATTCAGAAAAGTTTTTTCGAGTGTTTTATAATCATACTTCGTATTTTTCTCAACCAATCAAATTTGTTTGCTTAACAAGCCCCGGATTTTAGCTTAGTATAAAAAAGGTTTTAGTTAGTAAATATTTCCCTTAAAAACCATCGAATTAGCTGAAGAAAAGTTATATAAAACTAGCTTGTTTACAATAACTTGCTACTGTAACAGCAAAAAAAAATCAATTTCAACAAATTTTATTTTTACCCTTCCGATAATCAAGGGTATTGCAATCGGATACCAGATTTTTTTCCTGTAAATAACTTAAGGCACAGAATTCTAGTTCAAGCTTTTCATGGCAACAATTTACTTCGGCTTTTTTGCTTTTTTTACTTTTATTTTGACCTGATAGGTTTTGGCCCATATTATATCAGTTCAATGGCCGTATTGCGTCTGTCGACGAGTGAAAAAATTTTGTATGAGCAAGTCTGTGTTTTGAGGGCGAGGGGGACTTATTAACTTAAGATGATACTTTAAGATGAACCAAAATCAACAATTGTTTCATCTTAAAGTCTTTCTGCCAAGGAATTTTCCTGCTTTATTACCGTTTGGTGTATTTCCTTCCCAGTCGATCTTCGCATTCTATCGTCCTGGCATATTTGTTTTTTATTTGAAAAGTAGCCTTGTTTTTTGATATATCTAATTTTTGTCGACACTTTCGATTTTTTTCTTTTTTTTTGCGGTTTACTTGTTTCGTGCACAGCCGGGAAGACTTAAAGTTGAACAGAGCTCTTGCTGATCTACGTGTAGATATGACATTTACAAACGAAATATAATCATGACAGTCCATTTCATAACGACCGGAGATAACAGTAGACAAGAACAAAAAATAATGCATTTCAAGATACATAGACGCTGGAAGCAATTTGAGTTTCAGATGGAGTTCTTTGTAGTTGAACTTTCAGCCCATAATCAATCTCGTGACGGTCTGCTGCACATGTTCCACTACCCTACTGTCAGCCTTGTTTGCGTACCAAACTTGGCTGCCTTAGGTCACAATCTGCATGATGTATCCGCTATAAATTTTTAGTTTCGCTGTGACTGAGACGTATTGCATTTCACAGCGAAGGGTGGCATTGCGTTTCACAGCGAAGAAAGCACCAATTGCTTTGTCACAATATGTATAAAAAATTTTCTATATACTGTCGGTTTTCTGAAGAGTTGCAACAGAATTAGGTAAATTATAGCGCATCTCTCTGGTTATTATATTTCATCCACTCTCTCAGACATAGATAGCTAAAAAACAAAAGCAGTTATTTAACTAAAATTCAGGGGCTGCTGCGTACTCACGACAGAAAACTATCCCATTCAATGCATTCGGAGCATTTGAATCCTGAAGCCTTTTTTTCCATAAAAATATAGTTCACAAAAAACTGATGAACTGCGGAAACTGAAAATGTTTCCTGATCCGCAAAAAATTTTAAACTTTTGCTGGTTCAAAAGAATGATGTCTCAACATTGCACAAATTAGCAATGCTGTGTAAAATTATTCTGAGTAAATGAAAAGTACCAAAGAGTTCAACGCCTGAGAGTGCATCTTAAAATCAGGCTTTTTCGGCTTAACTTACTGGTTCAAAAATGTCCCAAAAAGTTTTGGGTGAAAAATGTGCGAGTGGGCAACGTGTATCAATATGAGCGTCGTGCTTAGTCAAACAAAACTTGGAAAAAATGTACTGCTTGAAACATCGTCTGTTTTTCAAAATTACCATATGAGCAAAAAAAAGTCTAAAATTTAAGCCAGCTAACTTTCGCTAGCAGACAACAAAACTTATGGTTAACAATAATGTACTGAAACCAGATCTAAACTAGTATTTATCATTGGTCATTATAATGATATTTTATCTCTATAAAAAAATGAAAACTAACCAATCATTTTCCCTTAAACTAACATTCCACTTATTTGTAAGTGTTGAAACTACTCGTAGTTTCAACACCAGAACAATTTGAATTAAACTTAGAATACAGATGTTCTCATTCTGGCACTAACTCGCGTAAACCGGTGTACACTATTGAGACTAGGAGATATAAGAGTAAGATTAGGATTGATATTAGAACTTAGAATCTATCCGGCCAAAAATAAGATAGCGTGACGAGCAGACGGTGTACCTTATCTGAAATTGCTCTTTTAGTATAACCGAAAGGTCATAACTCATCTGGTGCGACCAAAAGTCTAGAAAAGACCTTAACTAACCTAGAATTCGACAAAAATTAGATTAGAATTAGACGAACACAACATTTCAAAATGTTATATGATAAGAACTTAGTAGATATGTCTCTACGACTCAATAGATCAGATCCAATATTCCGCACAATACGAGAAATACCCGGTATTGGAAGAAGACGTCGAACAAGAAACGACTACCAATCGATTTCATGATTGTACGACAAAAAGAAGATCAAACTTTTGTATTTAGAATACTACTAGCAGTAAATTTAAACTTTCATTTACTCACATAAAATTTTGAAGAATCATCTTCAAAAACCTTTCATGGCGCTACACCTAACAGTTATACAATAACGATTGATAAAAAAACACTTGATCAGCTGTAAACAATCCCTAAATCAGCTGTAAATTAAATAACGTCTTGAAAATTTTTTATTGAATATAAAAATGCAATAGTTTGTAAGTATAAATCATACATCATTAGTATATATTTAAATCATCTCCTCATCCGAGCTTCAGCACCTAAAACATAACAGCAAATCTCAAAACTAAAATTTAACCTTTTTAACATAACCCTTTATTGATAAACTATCAAGGCTTATCCTTGTTTTCATTTAATTAACTTGATTTTAAATAACAGTTCATCAAGGCTTCCCTAGGATCTCTAGTTTAAATTAAATTATACCTAAAATTTTGATCATCAAGGCTTATCCACGGTTTAAATAGAACAGGTTTTTATTCTCCCCCTCCCATTTTATTTAGTATCTAACGACCTCAAACGTCGATTCACTACCCAACCCTTATCAAAGACCCAGATTTAACAGAAATTTTTTAAAAAACTAACCATTTTAATTAGGATCAACAGTGAAAAACTTCAGTTACTCTTCCTTCACTTGATCCCCCTCCTCTTAGATGACCCAGGCTAAAACACTTAAGCATAGTATGTCTTAAAAAAATTGTATCTAACGAACTTCTTGCGTTCTAATTATACCTGAATCTTGTGAAACGATTTAGTATTCTCCAACCCTTGATCACAAATCACAACCCCTAAGTATGATTAGGTAAGTCTATCTTAACAAAAAGTCAACCTACAATTTTTTCTCAAATGCCAAATGCCGCAGAATCACTACAAATGACTATGAATCCATACCTATTGGGTGAATTATCAATATAATCGAACAAAACACTAATGGTATTTACAAGCCCAGACCCTGAATACTCTGTAGAAGATTACCTAAATGCAGTCACAGCACATTTAATTTTGAATTTAGGACCTGAACCAGTAAACACGACGCAACTTCATCAGAATTGGATACATAGACGCACAGCCTTAATCCAAACCACAGTTGACGGCGCAGCCCAAAAACGGTTTGCAGTTTTACCTATAGAAAAAAAATCCAATTGGAAAAGATTCACACAAGAAATCTCAAAATTGTTTGATTCCGAAAGAAACAAACATCATCAAAGAATTTTATGCAATGAGATTCGTAGACTACTAAATGAAACAGATAAACAACTTGCAGTAAGAATTGAAACTCTAGTCCGAAAAGCTACTCTACTCACTCAATACCCATGATTATAAAAATACAAAGATGACAGAAATCTTAATGATGACTCTAACACCTCATTTGCGGAAAATAGCAATAAAAAAGAGAGCATCACATCCTTCCTCAATCCGAGAACCAGATTTAGACTTTAGGAAAATAGTAGATAAACTAGAACAAGCAGAGATCATTATGAAACTAGAAGAAACGCAAAATCTAAAGTTACAATATTTCAACAACAACCAAACCACTACTTCACAAATAAACAATTTTAACGACTCTGATACAGAATTATCTGAAAAAAATTACTGAAATCAGAAACATCTTAGAGAAAAACCCAAATTTTAAAGGAGAACAATCATTCAAAAAATGTTTTAATTATTGCCGACGATACGGACACAGCATTGCCGAAAGCAGAAAAAAACAACGAGATAACTAAAATGATCCACAAAAATGTAGAGAACCAAATAAATCAATTCATCAATACATGAAAAAAAGATCAAAATTTACGCACCAAAAACATTCATAGTAATAAAAGTTCAGGAAAACCACTTCCAAATAACTCAAATTGCTCTAGACAACAATCACCAATTATCAAGGAAGATCGCCTTTTAATACCAATTATCGAGGAAGATCGCCAAATCAAACAAACTCACGAAATTTCTTACAAAACAGATATAGACGATCAAATAGTCGAAATAGTCAATATCGAAATAACTATTCAAGATCAAATTCAAACTAACCTGAATTTTCATTTGATGCCAGTTACCATTCAAACTCTAGAAATAGAAGTTATTCAGATAATCGATCTAGAAATTCTTCATACAATAGAAATAGAAAATTTTCCAACGATAGGAATAGAAACTATTCAAATGATCGAAACCCTAGATATCAAAATAATAGATTACGCGATTATTCTTACAACAGACCAAACTATCACAGATCAAAATATAACAACTGTCAAATTAGATCACGCGATAATTCACAGAACAGAAATTCAAGTTATAACAATAGACAAAGAAACTACAATCAGTCACCACAAAGGAATAACACACATTATCAAAAAATACAACAAAATTATAGGAGTAGTGAACCT